AAAAAATCATTGGATTTAAAAAAAAAAATTGACAGTAAATGACAACAATAAAAATAGGTCAAGAAACTCATTCTAAATGAAGCAAAAAAGGAAAAAATACCGACCAAAAAAAAATGAATGGCCCAATTACCTTCAGATAAAAACAGCGACTCAGATACAAACAAATATCATCACAGAAAGAATGAGTCAGGAAAAAAATTGAAATTTGATCAAAAATAGAAACCCACTGATCCAGGGAAATTAGTGAACCCCCAAAAGAAAATCTTACCTAAACAGACCACAGACAAATTGCTGCAAAAAGAGAGAAAGAAAAACTCTTAACAACAGTGAGAGAAAAAAGACGCATATGAATAAAGAAACAACATTAAGAATTACAGATGGTGTGGAGCGATGAAAATCAAATAATAATGTCATTAAAGTGGCAAAATTTTTTTAAAAATCTGTCAATGTAGAAATCTATGTCCAGTAAAAATACCTTGCAAAAAAAAAAAAAAAAAAAAAAAAAAAAACAAGGTAAAATAAAAACATTTCAGAGACACAAAAGCTGAGAAAATGTGTAGCTAGCCTATGCACCTTATGAAAATACTAATTTTTTCAGGCCAAAGGGTGATAATATAAGATGGAAATGTAGATATAAGGGAAGAAATGAAAAGCAATGAGAATTCCAAATAGGTGATAAATATAAAACATGTATTCTTTCATTAAATTTTAAAGGGCAATTGAATGCTAAAAGCAAAAAAAAATAACGTGTTTTGGGTTTTATACTTTAAATAAAAGTATAATATATTGCAATGATAGCACTAAGGATGGGCAGGGCATAAATGTAATGATATTGTAATAGTATTATACATAAATGAGATAATATTATTTTTGTGTAAAATGTGGTAAGTTAAGGATGCATTTGTAATCTCTACAACAACAAAATAATAATACAAAAAGCTATTGCTATAAAGTCAATAAAGAAAATAGAATGAAATACAAAAAAAAAATACACAACCCAAAAGAAGGCAGGAAAGAAGGAACAATATAATAGCAGAGAGCAACTAGAAAATGAATAGAAAAAATGGACTTAAAAACAGTCATATTAATAGTTCCACCAATATAAATGGATTAAACACTCCAACTAAAAGACAGAGGTTGAGGGATTCAAATAAAACATGGGCATCCAAAGGTATGCTCTTAACAAGAAGCACACTTGAAATACAAAAATGTAGTTAAATTGAAAGTAAAAGGATGGAACGAGATATACAAGCAAACACAAAGCATAAGAAAGCTGTGGTGGCTACATTAGTAGCAGACAAAGTAGACTTCTAAACAAGGAGTATTAGCAGGGATAAAGTGGATCATTTGATAATAAAAAAAGAGCTAATACATCAAGAATATAAAACAACGGGCCTCCCTGGTGGTGCAAGGGGTTAACTATCAGCACTATGACGAAATCCGCAGCTGCTGCAGCAGGAGTTCAATCCCTGGCCAGAGAGCTACCCACATGGCGCAGCAGACCTCTTCTGACTCGCCTGCTGCTCCCCTCAGCAGTGTGTTTTGGCCAGTCTTTCTGCTCCCCATTCTGTCTCTGGTGAATCCTCTCACCCTCCCACATCTCTGGCCTGTACCCCAGTTCTTGTATGCATAAATAAATAAATCTTTTTTAAAAAGAATATAAAACAATCCTGCATGAGTAAATATGTAATAATCCTAAGGTAGTACACAACAAGAGTTTCAAAATATATGGAGCAAAAATTTAAAAAATAAAGGAAGAATGAGAAATTCACAATGATAGCTAGAGATTTAAACTCCATTTTTTCTATTTACAATTGACAAATCAAGAAGACAAATCAATCAGGTTGTATAATATTTGAAAACTGTTTCAACCATATTTGACTTACACAAACAACAGCAGAATTAAATTAGAAATAAATAATAAAAATATACCTGGAAGACCTCCAAATATTTGGAAATTAGGAACATGTTTTTAAATAATTCATGGTTAAAAAAAGAAATCACAAGTGAAATTAGCAGATAAATCAAACTGCTTAAGAGAATGCAAGATATCAAATTTAATGAATTGCAACTAAAGCACTCCTAAATGAGATAGTAATAGTTTTATTTATATATTAGAAAAGATAAAAGGTTAAATGAGTGCTGTAAGATGCCACTTTTAAGAAGCTATAAATAGTAGAACAAATGAAAATGTTAAGGTCCTCCTTGGTTTCACAAGGGGTTAAGTCTCAGTGCTACCAAGCTGTGGGCAGCCACTGCAGCAAAAGTTCGATCCCAGCCAGGGAGCTACCCACATGGCACAGCAGACCTCTCCTGACTCGCCCGCTGCTCCCCTCAGCAGTGTATTTTGGTCAGTCTGCCTGTTCTGTTCCCCACTCTGTCTCTGGTGAATCCTCTCACCCCCTGCACCCCAGTTCTTATATGCAAAAATAAATAAATAAATCTTTAAAGATAAATAAATAAAAAGATAAATTTTTAAAAAGAAAATAATGGAGGCAAGGGGAAATCAAGAAAGCCCAAAGCAGTTTTTTGAAATTAATGAAAATGATTAAAAGTCTAGGTAAAAGTAATCAAGAAAAAGAGATGCAAAACACACGATACCAAGTTCAGAAAATATAAAGGTGATGGTCACGACACAAACTACAGATAATTTAAAAATACAAAGGGAATATTATGCAAAATTTCATGCTAATAAATTCAACAATTTAATTTAAATGGAAAATTTATTTGAAAAAATTTACCAGAACTAACAAAACTGGAATTTTTGAATAATGCCACTATCAAAATTAATTCAAAAACACAAAATCTTGGAATAAGAAAGTTCAAAGATTGGATGGCTTCAATGGTGAACACTAGCAAATACTTAAGAAATATAAATAATATCAAACTTAAAGTCTTTCAGAAAATAAGTTGCATTGATAGATTGACATGAATTTGATATTCAAGCTGACAAATTGCAAAGAAAGAAAGCTATAGATGAAGATCACTCATGAAAATTATTAATAAAATATTAGCAAATCAAATACAATATTTTTTAATTATGCATCTTGATCAATTGAGGTTTATTCCCAGAGTGCAAGTTTGTTGCAATATTTAAAAATTAATAAATGTATTTCTCCACATTAATGAGAGGTGGAAAACATCTGATTTTTTTTTAATAGGTGCTGAAAATGCATTTGACAAAATTCAACCCCATTCGTGATAAAACCTCTCAGTAAAGGGAATTTTCTCAGTCTGATAAAGGGAATCAACATGACATCTCATGAACAACAGAATAAACAGTGAAATATTTAATACATTCCAATATCAGGAACTATACAAAAAGGTCAATTTTCATCAGTTACGGTCAGCATTGGAGGATGTAGCCTAGTGTAATAAGGCAGTATTTTTTAAAAGATTTATTCATTTATGCATACAAGAACTGGGGTGTACGCCAGAGGTGCAAGGGGGTTAGAGGATTCTCCAGAGACAGAGTGGGGAGCAGAACAGGTGGATTCACTGAAATACGCTGCTTAGGGGGGCACCGGGAGAGACAGGAGAGGTCTGCTGCACCATATGGGTCAGCTCCCTGGCCGGGGATCGAACTCATGCTGCAGTGACTGACGATAGCTTCATAGTGCTGAGACAACCCTTTGTGCCACCAGGGAGGCCCAAAACAATAAAAAATTATACATGGCATAAAGATGGCAAAATAAGTAGAACTGTCTTTATTCATAGACAATATGTTCATTTAGGTAGAACATCTAAAGAAATCTGTGAAAATAATTACTATAATCAATAAATGAATCTATAAAGGTTATAGGATATAAGGTCAATGTATACTAATCACAATTCTATATAATTTGTATGCTAGCAAAAAATCTGAAATGAAATTTGATAATCAGAAATTCCATTTACAACATCATCCAAATATAAAATACTTAGGAACTAAATGAACACAAATTGTATTAGAGCTGCACATTCAAAACTTTTAAAAATATTGCATATAGAAACTAAAAACCTAAATCAGTGGAGAGATATAACATGTTCACAGATGCAGTCTCAATATTGTCAAGATTTCAATTTTCCTTATATTGATTGATAAATTCAACACTCACAATAAAGTTATAGCAGGCCTTATAACATTTATAGAAAAGTTGACCCTAAAATTTTTATGACTATGAGAAGAAGGGTCTAGAAATAACCAAAATGATCTTGTAGAATGAAGAGCAAAGTTAGATAAGCTGCACTAACTCATTTGAGGATTTATTATAAAATTGCAATGATCAGGACAGTATGGTATTGGCATGAGGACAGGCAAACAGAGCAGGAGTTGGTGAACTTTTTCTGTAAAGGGGGCAGATAGTAGAGAGTGTTGTAGGTCATATGGTCTTTATCACAATTACTCAACTGTGTCAAAGGTGAAATCAGCTATAGACAATACTTAATGCCTGTGTTCTAATAAAATTTTATGGACACTGAAGTTGGAATATCACATATCACGAAATTCTCTTTTAATTTTTTCTCAATCACTTAAATATGTAAAATAAACTTTCATAGTTCATGGACCATACAAAACAGGCAGAAAAGAACTATTTATTGGAAGTGGAATGATTCACATCTCCCCAGAGAATTAAATAAAGCCATGTCACCTTGGAGATGAGACATCTAACATAGGAAGTTATGGTAAAGGATGGGAGAGGAAGGAATGAACCATTGACTAGAGAGGGGTGGGGAACGCCTGGGAGGCAGCACTCTCCCTGCATTGTGACCAGACTGGAACATAAGAAGTGAGGAGGGCTAGCAAGTCGCTTTGTGATGGACCTTTAGAGGATATTGAGGAAATACACTCTTTCTCCAACCATGGCAACTTGAACCCCCCAAATAACCCCCCCACACACACACCAAACATACAGAGATGTCAGGATCAGCGCTCTGTGATGTCGCAGCCAGTTCAACACTACCATTGGCTGAGGGAGCACATTGATGACCAAACAAAGCTAAAGGGTGATGTCGTCATTACCTAGGGCTGGGTATATATAGGGGTGCATGAAGGCTGGGTAGACCATTTGAGAGGCTTGAATATGGCTCATGAGACCTCCAGGCCAGAAGAGACCAACAAAAAGACAGACCAGCCCATGATGAACAAGGAACAGCCAACTCCAAGAACCAAAGGAAAGAAACAAAAGAAGACCACCTCTCAAAAGAAGACCACCTCTCAACCGAAGACCACCTCTCAACAGAAGACCACCTCTCAACAGAAGCCCACGTCTCAACCGAAGACCACCTTACAACAGAAGACCACCTCTCCACAGAAGCCCACGTCTCAACAAAAGCCCACGTCTCAACAGAAGCCCACGTCTCAACAGAAGCCCACCACTCAACAGAAGACCACCTCTCAAAAGAAGACCAACAAGAGTTGCAAGGTCAGATAACCCTATCCATGCCCCCCTTCTTTCCCACAGATACCCCCAAAGACTTCTACATTGCCCTGGCCTAGCACAATCCCTTCCTCAACCTATATCTGTATTCATGAATCCCCTCTTCTTACACACACCACCCCCTCCCCCAAACCAATGTCCTGCTGACTCACCCTCTTGTTCTTCCACAAACAGAAGAAAACTGAGAAGACCAAAACACCCGCTCGAAAGAATTCGAGAAAAAAACATCAGTCGCCCTCAGAAAATTGTACCACAGTCATAAGGCCAACGATATTCGTCTGTTACCACAAGCTGAAAATGGCACGACATGAAAACAAGCAGCGCAAGAAGGAACACTGGAAAATCCAACCGTGCAAAGTAACTTACTGTACAGCTAGAAAATGTAGAGCCTGGGCCAAAAAACTAGAGCAAGCTACAGCAGCTTCTGAAGCGGCTGTGGAAAAATGGTCCAAAGCCTAGGAATTAAATCTGATGCCACGTGTTCAAGGATGTTGATGAAAATAAAATCAGCAACCTGTGAAAAGATGTGTGTGTGTTTATGTGTGGTGGGATGGGAGGGAGGAAATGAAGGGAAGAAGGGCAAGAGATAAGTCCCTAGAGGGTTGAGGATCAGATTGGCAGGTCCAGTTGGCCAGACATCAGAGAATAAAGGACTGGGTGAGGACTGAGGATCCAAGACACATTTCCTCAACACTTTGTTCCATGGGCAAGGAAAAAAGGGCTTTGGTGGTTCTGCTTTATTTGGGGTGGAGGGCAACATCACAGTAGAGATTGCCAGAACCCACATGGAAAGAGGTTTGATGTGTTGTTGGCATCAGTGATACTCCCCCCAAAAAAGGGCAAACAAAATCACCCCCGGGTTTTCTATGTCATAATGGTTTATGTTGTACCCCACCCAGTGCTGTAGGCAAGCGGGACCCCCAGGAGGACAGAAAACTCACCCTCTAGCAAGTCACCTACAGCAAACTCCTCCACATTAAAATGATGTTCAGAAGCCACAAACTCAATTGGCAATTACGTCACTTTCTCGTTAAGAGTCTTGGGGTGGAGGTGTGACCTCCTGAGGGTGGGCCAGTGGGATCACTGCCCAACTGCCGGCCATAAAGGAAAAGATTGGCCACAGAGAACTTCACAATAAGAATAAAACCTGGTAAAAGTCAGTCTTGCCTTTATTAGTGCCATAATCAAGCATGTCTAAATTCCCCCGCCCCAAAATCTTTTGGTCTAAGTTTTAAAAGACTGCTGTGGTTGGATGTGAAGGCAATCTGGCTGCTACAGCTGTACCCCTTTGAGCGCCAGGATTGAGCTGACGGTTCCGGCCCCCAAGTGGGTGTTCCCTTCCTCCCTCATGGCCCCAGGTGAGTCCCTCCCTAGGCAGCTCCCTTACTCAAAATGGAACCCTTGTCCCCTCCCCTCACCCTCCCCCCAAATGGGACGGATCCGTAGGCCCAGGCTACAACAGTACCTACACTCTCCTCAGGGACCTTCAAACAAGCTCTCAGGGTTGCTGTGGTTAACATTAAGTTTTAATATATGTGTTAGGTCCAACTTAGTTGATTTTTAGTATCCATGTTTTAATAATCATTTTATTCTATAAGGGATGAAATTTTGGTAAACCCTTGCTAAATAGCCTGCAATACAAACTGTTCTTTTTCTAAAGTAAGTTCTCAATTTAAAATTGTTTGAACTTGCCTCTAGAACGTCATCCCTGTGGTGATTATAATATATATAGTCCATGTTTAAAAAGTGTATTTCTTTTTTTTAATTTAAATTTTATTTTTATAGTCCCATACAATTACAACCCCCTTATTTTGACCCCAAGCCCTCCCCTCCCGCCCCCCACCCCCCATAGAGTGTCTCTGGTTCATAGTTGTTTGTCGCTTTTGATATTTTCTTTCTTATAGTTATTCTTTTTCCTGGTCCCTTATTTAGGTTTTCTAGATTCCTGCTATGAGTGAGACCATCCGGTATTTTTCTTTTTCTTTCTGGCTTATTTCGCTGAGCATGATCCCTTCCAGCGCCATCCATGTTGCTGCAAATTGCATGTGTTTATCTTTTTTGAATGCTGAGTAATATTCCATGGTGTATATGTCCCACATCTTCTTGATGCAATCATCTATTTTTGGGCATTTGGGTTGTTTCCAAAGTTTACCTATTGTAAATAGTGCTGCTATAAACATAGGGGTGCAGGTGCTCTTTGGAATTGATGTTTCTGTGTCCTTTGGGTAAATACCTAGGAGTGGAATTGCTGGATCCTATGGAAGCTCTATGTTTAGTAGGTTGAGCAATCTCCACGCAGCTCTCCATAGTGGTTGGACCAGTTTGCACTCCCACCAACAGTGCAGAAGAGTTCCTTTTCCTCCACAGCCTCGCCAACATTTGTTGTTGCTAGTTTTTTTTAATATGTGCCATTCTCACTGGTGTGAGATGGTATCTCATGGTAGTTTTGATTTGCATTTCCCTGATTACAAGTGATGTTGAACATTTTTTCATATGCCTGTTGGCCATTTGCATTTCCTCTTCAGAGAAGTTTCTTTTTAGCTCTTCTGCCCATTTTTTAACTGAATTATTTTCTTTGTTTTTGTTGAGTCTCATCAGCTCTTTGCAGATTTTTGTGATCAGTCCTTTATCATTAGTGTTGTGTGCAAAAATGTTCTCCCAGTCGGTGGGGTTTCTCTTTGTTTTTGTTATTGTCGCTTTTGCTGTGCAGGAGCTCTTTAATTTGATGTAGTCCCAGCTGTTTATCTTTGCGTTCACAATCACTGCTTTGGGTGATGTGTCTGAAAATATGTCTTTGATGTGCATATCATATATTATTTCACCTATTTTCCTTCTATGTATTTTATGGTTTCAGGTCTTATGTCTAGTTCTTTAATGCATTTTGAGTTGGTTTTTTGTGCATGGTGTTAGGTAGTAGTCAAGCTTCATTCTTTTGCATGTAGCGACCCAGTTTTCCCAGCACCATTAAAAAGTGTATTTCTAATTAAAATATTATAGCACAGTGATAATAAAGACAATTTGAGTTACTTTAATTCTGTGATTCTATGTAATCACTCATTTTTATTAATATCTAAAACAGTGGGGCACAATATACAATTTGAAAAGCAAAATTGGGGAATAATGAATATTTTCCTACATTTGAAAATAAATTATTTTATCGAATTTGAACAACTGTTAACATGAAATATATTCATTCAATTGTTCATTATTTTAACACTATATAAAAATCAAAATAATGAAATCCTCATCAGTTATACAATTTAGTTGTTTACTAAATTGTACCTTTTTTACATATTGTGATCTTAAATGTTCCTTATGATTTTACTATGGTTATATATATTGACTAGAACTTTTATAAAATAAAATTTATGCTGTATTTTCTTTCTGATTGTTTTAATTCATGCAGCTTTCTAAAAATACAAGACAAATACACTAAAAGTCACTGAATCATGCACAGAAACTGGCTGATTGTACATTAAATAATTGAATTGTATGTCATGTGGAATACATCTCAATAAAATGCATGAAAAAATATGTGTCTCCAACTGACAAATACGAATACACAAATTTTACCACAAGCGGGAGATTTTATTGTCTGAAATACTTCATGATTTGGTCCTAGTCTCTGGCCTTTTGATTTTTTTGTTTTGTTTTGTTTTGAACAGTTTTATTGAGGTATAATTACAACAATTATATTGAGATATACCTTACAATAAACTGCCCATGTTTAAAGTATATAATTTCATAAATTTCAACCCTTTATCTCTGGAAATTATCTTTGCTCTGAAATCTATTTTATGATGTTACAATAGCTATTCCTGCTTTATAAAAATTCAGATTTGCACAGTATATCTTCTGTCCTTTTGCTTTCAACCAATTTGTAGTGTTTCACATAAACAGCATATAGTTGGGTCATGGTATTTTAATCCACTGTACCACTCTGCTTTAGTTGATTTATTTAGATCATTTACATTTAATGCAATGATTGATCTGTTAAGGCTAAAGTTTGCTTCTATAACAAAATACAACAGATTGAGTGAGTAGTTGAAACAACAGGGATTCTATCCCAGAGTTCTGGAGGCTGAGAAATTGAAGATCAAAATGCTGGCAGCTTAGAGTCTGGAGGGTATGTACTCCCTTGTTAGTAGACAACTGCCTTCTTGCTGTGTGTGCACATGACCTTTTCTCAGTATATGCTCATGGAGGAAGAGGGAGGAGAAAAGGAGGCTGCTAACTTCCTTATAAAGGCACTAATCCCATCACGAGGGGCCCACTCTCATCAAATGTAATTACCTCATCGAAGACCCATCTCCTAAAATTATCACATTGGGGGTTAGGGCTTTAATTTATGAATAGGGGGCAAACACCCATAACAGGACTCACTAAACTCTCAGTCAGGGTCTGTCATACCCTACTGACAGTAAAATTATCTGGGAATTTTTTAATTCTGAGACCCAGGCCAATTAAATTAAATTTCTAGGGGAGAGGACTTGTCTCATTTGATGCATCATGTAAAAATAGTCATCTTTGTAAATAATTTGAAGCATGTAATTTTGTTCTGGAGAAGGAAACTTTACCCCTACTGGTTGGGGTGTTGTAAACAAAGAACAAAAAGCACCAGTTTTGGAGTCATGTAGATTGGATAGATGTTGCCTAGGACATAGTAGGTCTTCAATAAAAAGAAACTGTAGTTATTGTGAAGATCTGATGATACTTAGATGCAACTGTCCAAGAAGAGGATGGCTCCAGAAGCCTGAGCAGGCCAGGGACCAGAGCAGGAGGCTACAAAAAGCTGAGACTCTCCTGGTTTCCAACCCTGCCTTCCAGAACTATTCACTGTATGATCTCAGAAAACTCTCTAACCTCCTGGGCCTCAACTGGTTCATCTGCAAAATGGGCACAGTAATGATACCTACCTCATCAGGGTTATGGTGAAGATCAAATGAGATAATGTATGTAAATCACTTGCCATTTACTGGGTGCTCAATAAATGATAGTTACTTTGATTACCCTTTCAAGGTGAAACAATTTCCAGCCAAAGCATTAATATCAGTGATTCCCTTTATTTGATGAACCAATCTGCATCTGATTAACTCTTTGTAAGTATCTCTTGGGGTAGAATTGTAATGTGTCCTTCACTTTCTCTCATGAGGAAGATTTGGCTGGAATTCTGCGCTGAGGAAATTAATGGCCTCTGAGAAATCTATTTGCATAAGTACTTGTGCTATCACAGTGACATTAAAGAATGCATCCTGATCTGGTCCTGTCGGCACAGAAACAGAGCTGCAGACGTGAAAATACACTCCTGGTGATTAGTTGCTCTGAGATCTTCTCCCCAGAAGCCTGCCTTATTTTGCTGAGATAGACTGAAAGATTCTGGCAGCAAATTGCCCATGGTGAAGAGCCCTTTAAGGAAAGATTTCCAGTTCCTGAATCACAGAAATCCACCCTCCCCAAAGCCCCGTTGTACATATTGACTGTAGCTTCTCATCCTGG